TTTATCCCGAGGGAAATTCAAATGCTGTAAGAGCAACGCATATATATTTATATTCATATAACACATTTTATTTCACGTAAACTTTTGATTAAAATGCAGTGGATCCTACTCTATTCCCTTTTCTTTTTTTACCCCTAAATCCTGATTTACCTTTGTGCTATATTAAATAATGCAGTTCACAGTAATGACATTGAGTGCCGTTTGCCAAGCAGGCAGTTTGCCCATCAGTTTCCCTGCATGCGGGTGCAACAACACTCTTTTCAGTCAAGTCTACGGCTCGCCACTGAGCGAGGATGTTTATTCCCGTTTAGCCAAAGGCAGTTGAGCAGCAGCCGAGGCAGTGATCACTAAATCCAAATCCCTCCGATACTTTTACGCAGTCATAATGTTGACAGGAACAGTTGCAGACGTCAATCCTCTCCACAGATTTAGCTTAAAAGCCAATATTGTTGTTGGATGTTGTCCTTAACTGTGGAGGACCTGCAGTGTTTACAGAATAACTGATGTATTTTTCTTGATGCGTACCCAACTCTGTAGTTCAGGCTGTGTAGTAGGCAGTCATTGACTTGTGTCTGACATCGCACAATGGGGGAGTTGCAATTGGAAGTAGACATAGTTGTTTGTATTGTTTTTATTTATATTTTTTTATCAAACTGCCAACACGGCGCTGAGAATTGCTAGATTTTTGCTTGTGTCATGTCAAATAACTAGCTTTTTTTTTCCTCCCACCAAAAAACGCTGTTCCTCTTAACCACAGAAAAAAAATACAATTGCTGTTGAATTTGTCATCTCTGTGTTCAAGACTACAAAGCTGAAGGCCTCTTGAGCAACTATAAATATTGAAACCTCTCTGTTAACGTTTTACATATATATCTCATTGGAGCTTGAAATTGATTTGAAGTTAGCTGAAAGGAGACAAGCATTTTGAAAAGCAAGCCCAGGGGGGAGAGTAGTTTGAGTTTTTCTTTTTTTTTCTTCTTTTTTTTTGGGCTGAGATTATCATTCTCCTAATGTAAGATTGATAAAGGCTTGACATATCCTACTGAGCCCTATCTTTTTCCTTTTTCTTCCCTCAGCGAGTTTGAGATGTTCAGCCGCGGCACTCTTTCTAGGCACAGCAGTTTTTGTCCTCTTTTCAAACAAAGCTGAATGTCGACTAATGTGTTTCCTTCAGGCTTATTTTACCTTAAATTCCCACTTTTGCCTCTTTACAGGTTTGAAAGTTTAAGTCATTAATTTTCATACAAACAACTTTACCGTGACAAAGAGGCACGAGGGAAGCTCGCTCTCTCTTTCAGTGTCTCAGTACAGCTACCTTTCCTGTTTTCCTTCAAGCGATTGCTGATCCGACATTATTAGACTGATCTGCTTTGACCAGTGTTACCGTTTGTAATTAGTCATTAGCCAAAAGAGGAAATGGAACGGATAAGGCTCTGTGGAGGTTTTTGAAAGGGCCTGGGGTTGGGCCATAGTGTTGATGCTTAAACACTGTCAGTTTGGCTCTTGGTGCTCACTGTGAACACTATTGGCCCCCTGTGAGCAGTAATGATGCCCCAGAACCTAAACTCAGGAACTACATCAGGAAATAAAAGTCTTTGTGTTGTGACAACACAGTCTCATTGCATATTCTTGATAATTTACTGCTCTGCGACTTTAATTTCTGAGGGGATGTCGGAAAACACGGGCAGAGACAGAATGAGAAGCTGAAAATGCCACAAAGGCCTGATATGGCTGTCACTTAAAAAAAAGTATGAATTGATGAGAAGTAACATGCAGTTTGCTCAAATTAATTTGAACCAACCAACATATCGTAATCTTAAACAGATTTTTAGGATCACTGTGGTTTCATTCATCTGCAGTACCTCAGCTTGTGACAAGCTGAAATGCTTAGTCGGCTAATACGACTTGTTGTCCGACCTCGTCCTGAACTTAAAACTGTGTATAGTCAATCTTGAGGGACATACTGGCTGTCATAGAGAGGGAGGACACACAATATCGTTGAAATATGGGTATACAGTCTCTCCTGGAAGACATTCATAGTGTTGCACACGGTTGTTGGTTTCGGAAGCTTACAGAAATGTTCAGACACAGGCCATCCAATCCAATGTCAGAAATATGTGAAGGGTTTCTGAAGCTAATTGACCGTCTGACAAGCACGTCTTCATTACAGATTGAATAATTTATTTTTTTCCCACATTAGAATGATAAAAAGTGACAGCCCCACTGCTTAGTGTTTTGATTATTTTTTGATTATTTTTTTGCTTAAGGCTGTTTTAGTACTGAACTATACTGCTCGCATTTGTCCAGTCTAACTCACTTGTTTCACACTAGTTGGGTAGTTGCAGAGAGTTGCTTGAACATCAGATAACATTACAAGAAAATCTCATTCCCTACTTGCATTGACACTATTGACAACCACTGCTTGTTTACTACTGTATGTGAATGATTGCAGTGGTAACAGCCACAAGGCCTCTTTTTGGTCCGTCAGCAAAGGCCAGTGCTGTGAACTCTGCCACAGTAGTTCTGGTAGTAGTTCATCACAAAGTACCACCCCAAAAGACTTATTTGGAGGCAGGAACTACAGTAAATTAAGACTCTAGTTCCTCCAGCTTAAACGCAGATGAAGTTATGGGTTGCTGGTTTCTGAAAAATGCTCCTGTGGTTAACAACTTTTACATTACTCCTTTTTTGCTAACTCCCCTATTTTCTCCCCCAGCTTGCCATGACTCACCCCAGTCACCACCTCAACTTCGGCATGAATCCCGATCACGCCCGCAACTCCCTTTCCAACTGCGGCATCCGCCAGCCTAAGTACGGGGACAGGAAGGTCCACCACATGTACATGAGGAAGAAGGGTGGGTGATTTTTCCATTCTCTCCCCGTCTTGTTTCTTCTAAACGACCACTCTCTCTATTACGGACTCTCACCTCTCCACCTTGGGGATGTGTTTTCAGGAATCAACACATTGATTAACATCATGTCTCGTCTGGGGCAAGATGACCCCTCCCCCTCAAGGTAGGCTGCCTGTGGGCACATATCTGTTCATGCTATCACTGACCACAGGAGCAATCAAAGGGACGATTCTTGTGATTAATATACCCAGCAGGCCTGCTGACAAGAAAATTAACTTTAACTGTGAATGGAAGGGATATCTCGGGGGAAATGAAATGAGCTAATTTTAAGGGCAACGACTACTTATTATTGAATGTGCACCGCTGTTGTTCTCAAAGCGCTGATCAGTTGAGCCGCTGTGTGTGAGTGTGTATCTACTGTACGTGCGTTTGCCTCAAGTCTATCTTTCTCGTTACATCTTCAACTGTCCTCACATCTCCACCTTTTCTCCCGTCTCGTCCCGTCTCCTCCCCCACTCCTAGGATCAATCACAACGAGAGACTGGAGTTCCTGGGCGATGCTGTTGTCGAGTTCCTCACCAGGTGAGACAGCGCTCACACATCTCTGATAGACACAACAGCTAATTGAAACCGACTACAACACTATCGGCCTTTCTGCCAACCCCCCTTCCAGTTACTTTCTCACCCTCTCACTCCATTTTTCCCTCACTCTCATTGTCTACATCTATCCGTGTCTGTCACAACCGCACTCCTCTCCATACTTTGCACTCATTCAAGACAGTGATTTACTGGTAATTGGAACTGGGGTGTAATATTTCCTACCCCCTACCCTCTTTTTAACGGCCTGAAATTCTCCATGACAACTTGCAATTAGCTGTCTGGAATTGCTGTCTGGAATGCTGACTGTGTTATTGACTCCCAAGTGAGTGCGGACATTGCTGCCCAGCACTTACCTAAGCACGGTGCTAATTATATGTAGCTATTATTAATCTCGCACACTTCCTAGAAAGGCAGTGCCCACCTACCTACTGTACCTCCACCACCTCCTCTGAGTGGATATTACCAGAAGAAAATATAGGAAATGGGCTCGCTTTCTCTCTCCAGTACTCGCATACACACATAGGTTGTAAAAAGGATGACTAGATTTTTTTTTATCTGACTTCCATTTGCCCAACAGCATAACTTCTACTACCAAAATGTAATTCGTAACCCTCGATGCTAACACTTCCACAACAGTGAACATTCAGGAGCAGGATTAAACCTTAATAGGAACTGACACTGGGTTACACAGGACACTGCTTCAGCTCCTTATGCAGCAAGAACAGTGTTACAAAGAAGGTGGTTAGCCTCTGTTTCTCCGGATATCTGCGGGCATGTTTTCCTACTTTCCCTCCTTCTTCCCCCTCTTCCTCTGCCTTTCCTTCTTTGATTGTTAGCGTCTGACGAGACATGCTTGGCCTACGCTCTGGCCCTCTGAATTATTTATCAGCCTCTTGTCCAGTTAAATGGGTACAGCAGATCCAGCCAACTGCCTTGTGCACCTTCAGTGCGCGCTGCCCTTGGAGGCTATCTGTGCCTCTGCTGTCCAGCCAACAGAATATTTTGCACATTTGAATAGCCCTAACACAGGGAGCTAGTGTTGAACAGAGGAGGTTCATGAATTTTTTTTTTTTTTTTAAGGGTCAGCAGATGATGTAAAAAAATGAGTCCACTTGCAATATTTGTTCTTGGGGAAAAAGTAATGTATTAGAGGGAGTTATTAAGGTCCAGGTAAGTTTTTTTTGTTATTGTTGAACATAAAGTACATCACTTGTGTTTTGGGATTTTTTTTTTAACCATAAAGGTTAAGAATCACTGCTGCGGAAGATGTAATGAAAAGCACATGAGAAATGGATAACAGATGAGACTTACTGGCAGGAAAGAGCCATCGTTTTTATATCCCTGTGATGTACTGCACGGTCAGTGCGGTCGACAGTTCACTGCTCTGAAGAAGCATGAACATTTTTGAAGGCCATTTTCTTTATGAATGAACTTTATCTTGTGCGCCGATCTGCTTTTGATTAATAAACTGAGGTACAAACACAATGTTTTTTTTGTACCTGAAGAACGCTGTGCAGCTCAGTTAGCCGGCCTCTGTGACTGACACTTTTGCCAGCAAACCAAGTGTCTCTGGTCTAATTATTTTTCATTACGCTAAGTGGTTTTTATTAATTCCAAGTGCTTTGTTTTCACACTAAGATCACAATACCCTGACAAATAGACCTCTCGTGAATTTGGAAAACAGAACGCCACCTGCTTTCCTCCTTTTGCATTGATTAGAAATGACTGAATTAAATGGCCTGTTTTAATTCAAATGAAATCAAATGATACGCTGTGGTTAGGGAAACGCTGGACCGTAATGAAAATGGAACCCGCTCGCCCGGAACCCAGCTGTGGAACTACTGAAGCGTCTGCGGCCATTTCTGGGTTCCAACACAGACCTGGAAAGGCTGGAAATGTCTGAAAAATTAATTAGGTGGTCTTGAAAATTTTGGTGAATGCAGGATGAGGCAGAATGAAACAAATATCTAACAATTTCTATCTGATTGTACGTTTTAGACGATAAGTTTTCTTCCTCACGCATTCTCGTTTTTGTTGGTGTGAAGACGAACGTTCAGTAGATTTTGTGATGTACATACTTTGTGCTTGTTTGTTGAACTCAACTTTGTATTTAAACAAGAAATTAAGGTACTGAAGTGTGAAATATTTCCCAACGATAAATCTGAGATACGGTTCTAATCTGTTCTCATTTCTCTGTCCACAGTGTCCACTTGTACTACCTTTTTCCCAGTTTAGAGGAGGGCGGCCTGGCCACCTACAGAACAGCCATCGTACAGAACCAGCACCTAGCAATGCTAGCCAAGGTAAACTCACCTTCTTCACCTCATAACAAGTCCCCCGCTGGCAGGTCAAAACGGTGAAAGGTCGGCGAACTGACAGGAGAACATGTTTGAGACAGTCTTATTGTTTTCTGTCTTGCCGTTATGACTTTGCTTCTTTCTAAGTGGGCACTGGGGAAAAGAGTAATTTTGTCTTTCTGCCATCCCTACTATTTTTTTTTTTTGCCCCCTCAGGTTTGTAATTGGAGTTAAAAGGTTGTTGTTTTGGAGGACTAGACTAGTGCGGCTGGGGTCCCTGTGGGCCCCTAGAGGTCTTCCTGAAACACTCTCCAGTTCCTGTTATCGCTAGGCCCCCTTGCTTCCCTTCTTCTCTCTCTCGCTGGCAGCGTTGTACAGCCAAGCCTCACTCACTGGCACGTTTGTAAAGAACACAACAATAATCGTCCCGTGATGTGGAGAAAGCAATTAAAAACTTCAATCTTTCATGTTGCTCCCTGCTGAATACAAAGATGCAGCCGCCCGAATCTGCATTAGTGCTGTGTAGCAGTTTGGCTTGTTTCAATTTGCCGCTCGCGGTAAAGTGAGTGTGATACAGTGTTCGACGTTGCCAAGTTGTTTACCAGGCTCCTCTAAAGCCGTCTGCTCAAGAACACTCGCAATTATCTTTCAAAAAATATCTTTAGCGAGCAACGGCACAATCCGCCACTTCACTTGGAAGGCTTAAAAGTCAGAACGGTTTCCCTCTGAGTTGGAGTATTTATGAATTGTGATTTAATTTGTGTGTGCAATCACGGAGGGTGGGATACCACCAACAGTTATCAGCCATAATTAAATAGCACCCTGACTGTTTTTTTGCCGGGTATTCGTCTGTGGTGCACTGCCAGTAAAGTCAAGTTGGGCTACTTTTCACTTGGCTGAGAGAAATAGTTGCAGAAACTTTTACTGACCCTCACGCCCACACATCACAGCACGTATTTACATTAAGTACAAGAATTAATATTATTATTACTGTTATATTTGTTATTATTCTCACACTTTTTTTATTTGTACTGTTATTATGTCCTGCTTCATTCTTACACAGTTTAATCAAACCTGTCTTTATAGTGACCCTCTGGGCACCACTTGAGTGTATTTGTACAGCTCTGATGTGTCATAAACTGTCTCAATGGGCTTTACGGGGCCACATCAGCAATCGTTGCAGAACCAGGTTAAGCACCAGTCAAGAAAACTCCCAACAAATAAAAAAAGAAATGAAGAAACGTTTGGAAAGGCAATAGAGACCTTTTTTTTTCTTTATTAATCCCATTGGGAAATTACAGTGGTAAAACTGCTAAGTCACATAAATCATGAAACAACTGACATAAGGACACTCAAGGTGGTACTGTAGGAAATGGACACGATTCAATAATATAAATAATATTACAACAACATAATAAAGAAAAACATCTAGAATGAAATACAGTCTAAGAAAAGAGACAAAACTAAAGATTAGGATCATAGTTTAGCTGTGATGTGTATTAAACATACAAAATAATAAATAATGTTGTGCAATGTTGTGTGCTGTACAGAAAGGTAATGGCCTGTATAGATACAGATAAAATTAAGTGTGTATATTGAATATATCAGTACATATAATACACACACACACGCACACGCACACACACACACAAGTAAGTTAAATACAAGATATAAAGTAACAGTACTACAAAACTAAATAGACATTGGACAATGTTATTATAATAATACATACCGTATTTATCAGCTCTACAATCTTTATAGTGACTTCCAGTATAATAAATGAAATATCAGTTCTTTTCAGCATGATTGAGGTGGAGTCAGCTTAAAGTCCACTTCTGTTTTGCATATTTATAGTACTAATGTGTATTATTGTAAAAAGTGGCGTACCAGTGAACGAACTTTTCAGATAGAATGAAGGTCACCACTGTACTATTTCACAATTTATCTTGGGATTATCTGGCGTGTCTGTGTGTGTGTCTGTGCGCCAGTGTAATTTTGTGCATGTGTGTGAACATTTTCCTCCTGTGCCGGCTTAGTGCATCATGCCACAGCTGGACAACACATGGGCACATCTGTCAGTGCCATGAAGTAGAACCTTTTCCAGCAAGGGCAGGCAATCTTTTTCATTTCCCTCGAGTTCTCTGGCCCGTTTTTTTCCCCTTGTTTTCCATGGAGAGCCTATGAAAATGTGCAATACCCCAAAAAAAAAAAAAAAAATGCTATTACTTTTTCAAGAGGCTATTACTGAGGTGTTGGTGGCGAAGCACTGATATGAATGTGTTTGTCTTTTACAGAAACTGGAGTTGGATCGCTTCATGCTCTACGCTCACGGACCAGATCTGTGCCGGGAGTCGGACCTGCGACACGCCATGGCCAACTGCTTTGAGGCTCTTATTGGTGAGATTCCCACGAGACAAAGATAGAAGCTGGGATGGTGGTCGTGCAGGAGAACAAAAAAGAGCGGTGCATTTTGACTGAGCTAAATATGTAAATCTATTCCTAAAAGGATAGATTTACATATACAAAAAACAAATACAGCCTCCCCGCTCTTACAAACAAAACACAAAAATGAGCAGGGGGTTCAATACTCTAGGTTTAGTGGAGGGCCGCTTTGCTGGACTTCACAGCAGCACGTAAGTATTTTTATTGGTAATGCTTCTATGCATAAATGTGTTAAATTCATCTGGTAACCTCACGTGCTTTGAATAAAACTGAATCTTCTAGTAGTTGAATTCAGCCTTGTGTGTGTGTTAAGCTGTGTAAATAGCTGCAGTGGATCTCCCATTAGGCCCTGGAAACATTACACAGCTTTATTGATCTCAGGAGATGTGGTTTGACCTCTGGCTGGACAGGCAATCCCCCAGAGCCCTGCTCTGCTTTACCCACACCAAACACATACACAAGCTTGCTATTCATCTCGCTAGCAGTTCAGTGATAGAGTTTGTGCAGTGATTAGGACCCCGTGCTGAAAACCACACACACAAACACGCACGCACACACAGAGGAATCTTTTGGTGGGGACAGTCTCCGTCTCTCCATCCAACCCCATGGGCAGCGCTAAGCTGAGCCTCACTCCTGGAGCTGCAGAGTCGGCAGCTTTCCTCGCCTTATCACCATCTTGATTGAACCAGTTCAGCCATCTCTGCGCTCCCCTGATGATAGATACAGAAAGTGGGTGGCTTTAAAGAGATCTTCTTCACTTCCCTCCCCTTGCACCAAAACAGCAGTGCGCAACGAGCGCTGGGGAAAGTGCTGACTGGCACCACGGCCCCCTGTCGCCCCCGGGGGCCCCTTTCTTGTTACGGGTTCATTATCGGTAGAGACGAAGTCATAATCTATTCTGTCCCGTGGCTGTCGCCGCCTCATTGCTGCACACATCCGAGCAAGGCAGCAGGGCCACGACACTGGGTGCCTCTTTTCCTTTTCCCCTTCTCCTTCCCTCTCTCCTCTTCTATGTCAAATTTCAACTTAATAAAAGTGATGAATAAACAGGGATGCTTTTGTAAAGGAACCTGTGAGCAAACCGCTGTCAGAGAGCACCCTGTGGTGATGGGTTTTGGATTACTATCTCAAAAATACTAACTCACCGCAGACACACATGCTGAGGGGCAAAACAGACACGCATACACTCAGATTTGAGACGCACAAAGTCACTTGCAATGAGAACGGCGTCTGATGTTGCCTCTCTTCTTTTGTCATCTTCATTTCAGTTTTTTTTTTTTTTAGCTCAAACGCCTCCTTCAAGACCTTGTCGTCGAGCAGTCTATCTGTCTCCACCCTCTCCTGTCTCTGACTTACTCTTTATGTCCCTTTGCGTCTCTCTTCCATCTCTCTCTGTTCCCCCCCTGTGATCTAGAGTTTGGGTGTTATTAGGTGAAAGATGTGCCACGCAGATGATGAGTCATCCTGTCACTCTGTCATCTTCCCCCCCCCCCC